AGTTCGTTTTCAACCGGACTAATACCACCTCTTTAGCTGGGTCTCGGTGCGGTTGTTTGGGCCGCACCCGAGTGCGATTGCTGTATTCACACCTGCCCAAAAGATCCGCACCAAGGGGGGGAACGAACTTGAGTTTGATTCAATCGAACCAAACAAGACAGGTGTGAATACACCCTTAATTACAACTATAATGATAACGACACTGAATCACTTTCAGAACTATGACAGCCAATCAGAATCCTTCTGACTTCAAATTCTTTATTCATAAACCATTGTCCACAATCTTTGTCCACTGACGTCACCTTATGAAAGATGATGCCTAATCAAATTTCTTCATATTATCATGCTAACTTGTGGAAAACCTACCAATACATCCATCTCTAAACAGCGAAATGCTAAGTTTAAACAAGTTCAACTTCAACAAGTGCGTTTTGTGTAAAATAAGTGTAACAAGTATAAAAATTTTTGCAGTTTTTTGTATATATCATCAACTATGATTAAAATAATATAATTTTAGTAATCAAAATAAAATAAGAATAATAGAAAATGGATAGTTCTGGTCCTGTCATGCTGAAATCCATAATGTAGGCTGTATGTTGTGCCCAGCAACACAAACCATTTCAGCTTCAGCCTTGTTTGCTACTGACCTTTGAAATAATTTGCGTGAAGTACCATTATGTGGGTGACACTGGCTCGAAGATATGTACGTCAAGAGTTCAACGCAACTTTAAAGGCGTATCGTGACATTCAGAGATCAATAATCATATTATTCACATTTGATTAATAAATAGTACAACCGCCCTTCCATGACGCTGCAGACCTTTTATTAAGGTGGTCAGTGCAGTACGTGACGCTCGTCCTGAGAGGTGTTAATGCCCAGACTGTTTTTTGCAAATATGAACGTGTTTCTTCCTGTCTCTGTAGCCTACAGGATACATGGAGGCCCCTCTGTCTTACAGCACTATCGAGGACCTACAGCTGTTGTCCTGGGACAACGCCCCCAAATACTGTGTCCAGCTAAGCTTCCCTGGAGGGACAATCCTCCTGCAGGTACCTCCAGCTCCCTCACGGTTTCATGACACTCATGTTGAGAAAACACTGACTCATTTTGCGATTGTTTGTGTGCACTCGTAGGCTGCTAACAGCTATCTGCGGGACCAGTGGTTTCACTCTATACAGTGGAAGGTAAGGTCACACGTTTAGGAAGGATAGACTTGCAAAAAGCAATGATGCAATGACATTTTGCATGGTTTTAGTGAGAGTATAATTTTGTAAGTGTACATATGTGTGTGGTTCTTCAACTACAGGCACTTTGATGTTCCAAGTGTTGATTTCTATTAAAACTAAAAATTTTGTTTTTGTTGTGACATTCACATTGAAACTTTCTTGGATGGAAAAATCAAACAGTCTTAAATCATTTGATTGTTATTGTGTCAAATGTTTTATACCATTTTCTACACCGGCGTTTACTACCTCAGTTGTGGCGTCATTTACTACTTTAACAATTTTGACTCAATAAAGATTTATCTAAAGTTAATTCTTGGTTACCAAGGAGATAGCCATGTCCCTGAGGATCATGCTTGATATGAAATATGAGATGTGATGTGTGGAGGAAATAATAAATATCACTTGCAAGCAGAGCTTTTGATTGTGCGTCATATCCAGTCAAGTTATAATATTGTCAAATTAGGCAAATTGGCCTTAGCAAGACAAAGAAGCCACCATCATTATTTCCACATTGAAACAATTTTGAAAGGAAGAATGAAAAGGTTATAAACCATTTGAGTATTATTGTGAGGAATTATTATTATTATAATTTTTTACACAATTTGTAACTTCAGATGTGACATCATTTCCATTACAAACCAGTGAATATTTATAAAAAGTTAATACTTGGCTACCAAGGAGACCAAGCTGTGTCAGTGAAGAGCGTGCTTGATATGAAATATAAGATGTGATGTGTATAGAGGAAACAGTAAATATCATTTCTGAGCATCATTTTGTGCGTCAAGTTACCAGTCAGTGAGTTTCCATATTTTGAGATGCAGTGGAAATGTTTATGACGTTTAAAAAAAAAGACTATATATCAACTGTGGGACATTGGTAGTAGACAGATTTAACTAGTGAGAGCGTGAAAAGGCTTTTTTGTTTTAAGAAAAGTGCCTGTGGTTGAAAAAATATCCATGCATGAGTGCAATAAAATGGAACAAAATAAGAACTTCAAAACCTAAATCTCCAAGCCTGGTCACCACAGCTCATCTCTGGGTAAATTCGGTGAGGTAATTCACACCGTAATGTAGTTCAAAAGCTGTTATCTAGCTGCATTATGGTCGTAAAATATGTGCCGGTTTCATAACTGCTGGTTGCATCTGTAAAAGTCAGGTGTGTGCATTCTGGGTTTTCTGACTCATCTGCAGAAAAAGATCTACAAGTACCGCAAGGTTCTGAATAACCCGAGCCGCTGGGACGTGGTTCTGAAGGAGATCAGGGCCCTGGTGGATATGGCCCTCACCTCACCCCTGCAGGATGAATCCATCCATCAGGCCCCGCTGCACATCATCTCCACCCTGCTTGCTGAGGTATGTCACATCATCTAATTAGTGAGAAGACTAGTTATTAATTATTTAATTTGACAAGAGTGTAAAGCTCATTAATAGTGCTTGCTAAGGCGTGCATCACTTTTATTATTGCTCATACTTGTGTTTCCACCCAAAACTTTTGTTTGTAACACGTGCGATGATAACTTCAAATCATGCAGCTTATTGAGGATAAGTAAGCTGTTACATTTCTAAATGATTGTGCTTGAGATTTTTCGCCTTATAGACAAAAATAAACAGTCAACAAAACATTTATATTGACAGAGGACATATCTAGGGAACAGAATATCATAAACTTTGCAGTGGGCTCTTACTTTAGGGCAATCAGCATTTTTTTTTTTTTTTTTAGGAATCCCTTTTTTCAGATATGTCAAATGTACAATTTTTTCCTAAAGTAGAATATAAGACTTTTATTTTATTTTACTGCTGTTTTTAATCTTCCAATTTTAGTTGTTAAAAATCGTTTGGCTTATATTCATGAAATTATAATAAAAAAAATGATCAAATGAGAAGAATACCTTTCATTTTTACAGAATTTAATTTATTAGGATTTTCAAAAAGTAGAAGTTGACATGTGGTTATTTAATATATAAACAATTTTACCCAAAATTCTTCTACAGAAACAGTTACACTACCCTTCCAAAGGTTTAAAAAAAATGTATAAATGAATTTTTGAGAATGCATTAATTAATCAAAAGTGACAGTAAATACATTTATAAAGTTATAAAATATTTCTTAAAACATTTTCCCTGATAGACAAGAAAAACTTATTTGTATTGACAAGAGTTCCTCTATCCTTATGTAGGGAATAGAATATCATATAAACTTGGCTCTTAATTTAGAACCTAAAACAAATTTATTTTTATTTTGTGCATTTATGAGTCATTTTTCTCATTGAGCACGTCAAATTTATCAGATGTATTATTTTTCAGCCAGTTTCTCCTTGAAGTATAGCTGGCATCTTTTATGTTAGAACTTGAGCAGCATTCTGCTTTCATTTCTGGTTATGAGTGTCTTTTGTGAATTGAGGTGTGTGTTACGTGTCATTTCGAGTCTGTGTTCAGGTTAAGAGTTACCTGTGGTTGCCTGTGTAGCTGTGGTTTAGTGAGACTTTTTTTTTTTACGTGGCATCGCTACACAACGAAGATCTCCTTCTCCAGATTGTTTGCAGATAGGGAAAGATTGGTTGCATCCCTACTTTGATTTGCAAATGTAGATTACGTCTTTGAACACCACATATACCAAGCATTTGAATTCAAAGAGGGGTTTAAAAGGTCTAAAAACAGACCTCTTACTGGCCTTTGGTCAAAAGGCTTGTATCCCTGAGTCACACCGGCTTTCCCAAGAAGGCCATTAACATTTTAAAAGCAGCCTGGTTGTTGAGTCACTTAGCCGTGGCACCACTGGCCAATGAATTCTCAATAATGCTTTTGTGTCATTTCCTTCCTAGAACACTAACCTCAGCGCTCAGGACCATGAGAACATCATTGTGGTAAGTGGGGCTGTTTTTTTTTTTTTGCAAAGAAAATATGAAGTCGCATATTGCCTTCACACAACAGTGTGTTAAACTCCATTGCTAACAAAGGCAGTTACGTAATGTGTCTTAGGTCTCAGTGAAACACGCTCTAGAAGAAAATTGACTTGAAAATGTAGTTGACTGCCATAGAAACAGGACATGCACACACAGATGTGCTCTCTGAAGGATGTGCACTTCTGTAAAATGTGGATGAAAAGCAACAAGTCTCTACATGTCTGAGGAAGTGACTAATGGTTTGAATCTGTATGTAGGCCATCGCACCCTTGCTGGAGAATAACCACCCTCCCCCTGACCTGTGTGAATTCTTCTGCAAGGTAAATGTGACAATTCTGGCTATTCTTCAGGGGTACAATTGAGTTCAGTATTGTAAACCCTATTTTATTTCATTGTTTTATTTTATTTTATTGCTGCTTTTAATCTTTCATTTTTCAGTTGATTAAAATCTTTTGGTTTGTGTTTGTCTGTATATATGTGAGTCTGAAATAACTTATTAAAGGACAAAAAGGTCAAATATAAGTCATTTGTATGGTATTAATTTACTAGGATTTTTAAAAAAATTTGTGTAATTTTTTAAAAGAAATTACACATTAAATTGATCAGAAGTGGCAGTAAATGCATTTATAATGTTACAAAAGATTTCTATTTCAAAGAAATGCCATTCTTTTGAACTTTGTATTCATCAGAGAATCCTAAAAAAAAACTTATCACAGTTTCCTCAAAAAATAATAAGTAGCACAACTGTTTTCAACATTGATTATAAGATATATATTTCTTGATCACATAAGAATGAAGGATCATGTGACACTAAAGACACGAGTATGGGCTGCTGAAAATTCAGCTTTGCCATCTAAGGAAAATATTACATTTTTAAAACATATTAAAATAGAAAACCGTTATTTTAAATTATAATAATATTTCAATAATATTATTGTTTTTCCTGTATATTTAATTGGATAAATGCAGCCTTGGTGAGCTTAAGAAAAGACTTTTTTTTTTTTTAATTGTACCGACCCCAAACTTTTAAATGGTAGAGTATTGTGTACCATGGTAATTGTGCAGTGTTTTTGTCTGATATCATTACTTTACCAAGTACTTTTTAAAGAAGGGGATTAGCTATAATGATTTTGATGATTAATATATGTATTAATCAATATTGGTTTTTGTGTTCCTCTACACAGCACTGTAGGGAGCGTCCTCGGTCGATGGTGGTGATTGAAGTGTTCACTCCTGTGGTTCAGAGAATCCTCAAACACAACATGGTGGGTCTGCGCACTACACCAGACGTGCTCTTGAATTCACACATCACTACACCCTCATTTATTGACTCTCGTGTCTTTTCTTCTCATTCCAGGACTTTGGGAAATGCCCCAGACTCCGTCTTTTTACTCAAGAGTATATTTTGGCTCTGAATGAGCTTAACGCTGGCATGGAAGTGGTCAAGAAGTTCATTCACAGGTGAGTGACTGTGTCCTAACAATGCAGCAAGCGATAAAAGCTTGGAATCTCATTGCATCGCGCCTGGTGAGGACACAATCAGTGGCGGCTCGTGGGTTTTAAAATAGAGGAGGCACACTAATTGTATTGGTCTGGGATCCCTGCCGAAATTGATGGCTCAGTTGGACTGAAAAACCTTCATGTAAACACCTTAATCGATCCAACTGAGCTCGATCGAAATGAAATTTGAAGGGGGTGGTTTATTCCTTTTCTAATACGATTGAGAGTGCATGTAAACACTCGATAGGATTGAACCCCGAAACTGAAAGGACTGCGCATGTGCAATGACGCAGAAATAGCATAATGACGTATGACGCGCGGAACGAGCGGTTCTTCCTTTTGAATAAAGTGTTGTATAAATGCGTGTCCTGTCATTATAAAACTCTCCTTTCACTCGGCAACTGTGAAGTGGAGCAGGACAACCTCCCACCAGGCCTTGTTTTGGATACTCATCCACAGGCAACCCGTTTTGGGCGCGGGGAGGGGCATTTTTACTGCGTGATAAATATGAGCAGCACCACACAGTGGTTTATATGTATATTATCCATAAATGGATCAATATTAATTCTGCTGTTAAAAAAAATAAAGAAACCGTGTAGGAGAGTGGTTATTATGTGCAAACAGTGAGAAACTCTGAAAAACTCAAAAAATATTTCTGCAGTGTGTGCATGTCAAAAAAAAAATCAATTCCGATTTGAAGCTTGTGACATATAAACGAGTACATCAACCCGATCACTTTATTTAGCGTTCATGTAAACACTTCATTCAGATTCATCAATTGGAATGAATTCAGTCCGATTGAACCAAAAATTGTGCATGTAAACGTTGCCAGTGTTGCCTCATCCTGGCTCCACCTCACTTACGTACAAAGAATAGGCCTTCATATGTACACAAACTGTAACATCCTTTTATCTATCAGACTATGTCATTTTAATGGTCTGTTTAGGACCAAGTCCTGCGCTTACTTCCTGTTTCAGCTTTGTTTTCTTTACGCAGTCACTCTGTGCGTTTGGACGCAGGAGTTGTGCTAACCTGACCTTTTTTTTTTTTACATGTTATGATTTCAGCATGCACGGTCCCACCGGACAGTGCCCTCATCCTCGGGTTCTCCCCAATCTCGTGGCGGTGTGCCTAGCTGCCATCTACTCTTGCTACGAAGAATTCATCAACAGGTGCGTCCGATTCACTGGTTTTCCAACCCATGAGATGCGATTTACCCTTGAGGCCTGAGCTCAAAACATTTCTCTGAATCATTTTTGCTGACTTCATGGCTCCATATCCTGTTTTTTAAAATATTCCATAAATATGCACGCTTTCTTTGCCACCTGCTTTAATCTGTCAGTATTTTTTGTGACAGACAACAGTGACTTGGCTGTAGTGACATTTTTGGTCTCACCTGTCCTGTTTGTGTCATCACTGTGAGCATCTGGGCCGCGGTGCAGCCACCTGAGAGGAATAAGAACTATTTTAAAAGGTTTCCATGATTCGCAAAGACTCAAGAGAGTGAGAAGTTTCAAAGCTTACTCCCTAGGCTTCCTTGCACTGCTCCCTCTCTGTTTTTTGTTGCGATCTGTTCTCTCATTCACTCTCCAATGGCCTTTTGACAAATTTCCGTAACTACAGTTCATGGATATTTTTAAGGTGCACATTTACATGTGTTTTCGTTCCTGGGTTCCATTTGTCATCCTACCAGAATCAGATGTCCCATAGTTACTTGTTAGTCAAATAAGGTCTTTCAAATACTGTGGCCATGTAGCAAATTAAACCGCTGGTGTTTTGTATATGACTGCATGCAAATATGGAAATTTCCATGGAATGTGCCTGAAACTCTCTGAATGCAATATTAGTATTTTTTTTCCCCCTTTCTCAACCAAATGACATTGAAAAGAGTTGCTTAACCTTCAGAAAAGTTGATTGTTGAAAAGTTGAAAACGTATGATATATAGTCATTTCTTAAATTTTTATTCATTTTTTAAATACATTAATAATTTTATTCAGCAAGGATGCATTCACAGTTCTTTTAAAGGGGTCATATGATGCGATTTCAAGTTTTCCTTTCTCTTTGGAGTGTTACAAGCTGATTGTGCATAGATAAGATCCCTGAAGTTGCAAAGACTAAAGTCTCAAAACCAAAGAGATATACTTTATCAAAGTTAAGACTCTGCCACGCCCCCCTAAAACGGCTCGTTCTAACACGCCCCCACATATCTACCTCACTATGTGGAAATATTTGCATAATGCCGCCCAAATGTGCACGCAAAGAAAGAAGGCGTGGTTTCAGTAACCACAGTTAGTGTTGAAGCAGCCATGTCAGGGAGACGCTGTGTGTTTCTAGGCGAAAGCAAAAGCACTTTATTTGGCCTTCCGAAAGTAGATGCATTTAGGAATCTTTAAGATTACTTACAACAGAACAGCAATGCATTTTATGGACGACCGTTTCGTGAACCTAGGAGAGGAGGTAATTCTGACTTTGCTATGACAATCTGGCGCTTCTGAATCAGCTACTGTTTTGTTATTAGTTTAAGTATTTGCTATTGACTGTTCAAATGCGGAGTTTTGCGCATCGTGTGTGTGTGTGCGTGAGAGAGAGAAATAGAGAGAGAAATAGAGAGAGAGCGAGGGAGAGCAAGAGAGAGAGAGAGCAAGAGAGAGAGAGAGCGAGAGAGAGCGAGAGCGCGAGAGAGAGCGAGAGCGCGAGAGAGAGAGAGAGGGTCACATCACAAACACATACCAGCTTCATCACTGTGTCTGTCACGCGACTCTGTTCCCCTTTCGGGCTTGAACTGATGGTAAAACTAATGACATTATTTACTGTCTTTACATTTATTTTGAAAGATGAAGCTCGAGATTATGGTAAGGGGCGTTACATTTCCAACGAGTGCTTGCGGTGTTCGGCCAATCACAATGCACTGGGTCAGCTGGCCAATCAGAGCAGACTGCGCTTGTCAGAAGGAGGGACTTTGTAGAAAACGAAGCATTTGAGAGAGGCAGGGCATAGAGGACCTACAATAATGTACAGTATTTGAAAAATAATGTGTTTTTTGAACATTAAAGCATGTCAACATATTATGTTACACCAAATAATGATCTTTAAAAAAGCATCATATAACCCTTTTAAAAAGGGCAACTTTCAATAGCTTACAGTGAATTTGACACACCTTTCTGTGTGGAGTTTGCTTGTTCTCCATGTGTTGGTTTGGTTTCTCCCACAATCTAATCTGCAGCACAGGTGAAGTAGACACTAAATTGAGTGAGAGTGTGAATGTGTGTGTGTTAGTCTTGTGATGGACTGGCCGTGTCCAGTGTGTTTCCCAGCCTTCAGCCTGAGACTCCAGCATCCTGTGACTCTGTGGTTTGGAGAATAATAGATGATTATTCCACTGTTACGGTGTACTGGCTTTGGTCTTCAGTAGATGTAACTGTGAAATATTGCCCAGACACACACAATATTTATATTCAGTTAAATTTGACACTTTCTGTTTTGCTTCCACTGCAGTTATTGATTATGAACGACCATCATCAGTGAATGTGAATCGTTTGGGTAAAAGTCACTGAGATGGAGAGACGGATCAGTCAGAAGTTTTACCTCTCGCTCTGCAGCATTTGAAAAGCAGCACGACTGTCGCCAGCAGATACGGACAAGCTGCCAGAAGAAAACTGAGGATGTTGAAGACAGAAATCTGACCTGAACCTGACACGTATTTGAAAAATAATGGGTTTTTTGAACATTAAAGCATGTCAACATATTCTGTTACACCAAATACACAAAATAATGATCTTTAAAAAAGCATCATATGACCCCTTTAAATTGTAATAATTACATTTCTGCATTTAGCAGACACTTTTATCCAAAGCGCCTTGCATAATATTTCACAATATTACAGTTTTTACTGAATTTTCAATCAAATACATACAGCCTTGGTGAGTGTAAGAGACTACTTTAAAAAACAAACAAGCAAAAAAATCTTAACAACCAATAGGGTTGTGACGGTGGTGAAATTTTCCCACTGGTTAATCGACGTGCGACAACACCGGTAATACCGCTATCACCGGGGGGTGGAGTTCGTTGGGGTTTTCCATCAATTCCTCACTTTCCTTCGCTTTTAAATAGCTTATAAATGCCCATGCGAATTCGAATTAGCGTCAATTTGGCATCAATTGCTTGAATGGACAACAACAAAACGGTACAACACAACTCACTTATATTAAACATAGAACGTTTGTTAAATTACACAAATTTTAAATAAAGTAAAATATTAAAGTTTAAATAAAGTATTGCCTAACAGCTAGGCGCTTTTGCATTATGTTTCGAAACTAAATCTTCCGCCATCGTCTTGTCTGTCTCACCTCACTCTTCTTGTCGGTCAGCTCGACTCGCTCTCCTCACGTGATAAATTAAATCTGACTCCTGCTGCTGATCTGTGATGTGACTGTTGTTTGGCTCACTGCAGCCGCCAATTGTAGTGTCTGTTCTCTAACTGAACGAAGTTATTTTTATTACCAAAAAAAAAATCAAAAAGAGAGTGGGGGGCGGTGCCACGGTGAGCAAGTGATGTAACCGGTGTTGTGGCTTAACACCGTCAACACCGATTATCACAGCAAGCCTACCAACCAAATCAAAACCAAACTTTTGAACCGTATATATCGAATAGTTCCCCCAACCAAAAAAAATGTATCCTTAAAAAAATAACAGGACACCACACTGTCTTGAATTTTGTGGAAAGTGGCAAATGTCTTCTCTTTCTTTTTTTTTTCTTTTAGTCGGGACAACTCTCCCAGTCTCAAGGAAATCCGAAACGGTTGTCAGCAGCAAAGTGAGAGGAAGCCGCCCATGCCTTTGCGCCTACTGCGGCCTGAGCCGCCCACGCCTCCCCCGACCACCACCCTGTCCCCACCTCCGGCCCTGCCCCTCTCACCACCACCTTCTATCGTCAACTCCAGCGAGATCCTGGTAGAGCTAGAGCGCAACAACAACACCACTAACACACTGTGCAAGGCCCCAGCAGAAGGCGACAGCGAGCCCAACCTGATCGACTGTCTACTGGTCAGCCCCGCGCTCAATGCCCTGTCCATTCAGCTGCCTGCTCACGCCGACAGAGTGCTGGGATGTTTCGCCCTCATCCTTAAAATGCTGTGAGTATGGCGTCACTGGATCTTTCTGTCACTATTCCACACTTATTAGACCTCTGTGCAGTTTTAAAAAGTTCCTTTGGCAGTAATGGCTGACAGACCTGCCCACATGGTAGAGGTAAATACTGGCATCATCACAGGACCTTAAATAAATAATGCTAAATTCATTTTATTTTAATTGATGAGCTTGCCAAAGTGCATAAAAAAAAAGTTGCCAACAAGTAAACAAGTAGCTACACCGAAGCTTCACTTTTAGATAATTAAATTAAATAATTTTTTTTTTTTAATTTTTAAAAAGAAAACAAATATTTGTGTGTGTATATAATATACATATACATACACACTCAAACACACCTGGATCTAAAAAACAAGTGAGTATTTTTTTTATTGTAGTTTTATTTTTAGTTTTTATGTAATTTGATTTAACTAAATATTTCACTACCTAAAAGAAAAAACACATGAAGGGAATTCCGGGAACACTATTAAGTGATGAGTTGCCTGTACAAACTTTTTCGGAAAAACTGATCTGAACCACCTGGTAATATTTCACCGCAGAATATTTAGTATAAAGAAAATGAACCATTAAAACATTTTGTATTTCTTCTGTTTCGTTAAATGGATTGAACAATCCAGCACTATTTGAGAATGAAAGAGGGTGAGTTTGTTCGTGCATTATAAGGCTGCACAATACAGCGTTTTGTTGCACAACACTGCTGTGTTTTGGAATAATTTGCTTACAGAAAATGCTGTGCTATTTTAATAACAGCAGAACTACTGAAAAATGTTTTGTAGCTATTCTCCAACACTGTAATAGTCCCACATTGAGTATAAATCAAGCGTAGCGTTAGTTCTGGCAGGTCACGTTAGTCAAGCTCGCATCAGCTGACTCTCAGCTGATCCCCATCTACCTATAGGAATACGACACCTATCTAAGCATTCATATATAAGGTCCCTCAGTATTATCAGCAGTTTTCGCATTGCTCAATAGCTAATTACCCTTCTCCATCCCCAGCTCCTCCTCTGTCAGTCAGGATTCAGCCTTCTGATTATCCTTTGAATCAGACTAATTCTAAAATGTGTACATAAAATTATTGAACTTTAACGATATCTGCAATGCATTCATGTTGATTCTGTTCTGTTTACCCTGGGGGGTTATCGCTGCTCTCCCTGCTCTCATCCATGCTAGGCTGCATGGATGCACAGGGAGTTCTTGCCCAGAACAGAACCATACCGCCAATCCAAACTGTATGCTAATTGTCAATCATCTTTGACGATAGTGGTCCTGACAGAAATTATCAGTTTGGGATATAAAAAAGCTGATTCAGCCATAATCACACTGAGAAGTGACCTTAAACTAGTCTGCATATTTATAACAGATTCATTGAACCGAATCTGTTTTTAGGCTTTACCACCTTCACCTGATCCTATTGTAAACCATCCGGTTGCAGATCACAGCAGAGCTTCTGAGGTTTCAGCTTTCACTGGCCGATCTTACATAAGGTTCTTATTTTCTCCAGTTCTCACTCTTCCTGCCTCTGAATCTCTTAATTTCTCCTCTGGCCTTTTCCCTCTACAGATCAGACTACGATGACTGGAGACCAGCACTAGCCAGCCTGCTTCAACCAATCCCCTTCCCGAAAGAGTAAGGGCATTTACTCCCCTCTCATCCTCCTCACAGTTACTTTCTTTCTAACCGTTTACTTGCCGCCTGTTTCAACTATGGAATCCATTACGATTAGTAATAGTATGATTTCTGCTACTGCAATTAACTCATCATTGTGAAGTGTCAGTTTCACCAAACAGTTTATCTACCATTGTGTTTTAAGTTTTCTATTTACAGCGTGTTTATTGCATTTGCACATGTGATTTAAATTAGTCAGCTGGTTCTAATGAGACCGTTTTGCCCAGTTTGATGCCCAGAACTGTTTCAAGTTTTATCAAAAAGATGTTAAAATGAACAAAAGTGAAAAGCATCATTGGTAGATAGTCACTAGATGTCACACAGCTCACTCTATACTCAATATCAGTGTATAATATATTCAAATTTTAGTTAGAAAAGATTTCTATTTAGAATAAATGCTGTTTTTGTTTGTTTAGGGGATCATAAGACACTAAAGACTGGAGTAATGGCTGCTGAAAATTCAGCTTTGCCATCACAGGATTAAATTCCATTTTAAAATATATTAAAATAGAAAACAGTTCTTTTAAAGTGTAGTTATATTTTAAATATTATAGTTTTTACTATATTTTTAATCAAATTAATGTATCCTTGGTTAGCATAAGAGACTTTTCATTAAAAAAAAAATCACACAGATTCTAAACTTTTGAACGCTAGTGTATGTGAAATATGAATTTATGTTTTGGATGTGTAGCCTATATAACGATACCAGGGGGCTCTCTGTGTACGTGCGGTGGGCTGGTCTCTCAAGGTACGGCGTGCAGGGGTGAGTACTGATGTGGGCGAGCCCCAGCAGGGCTCTGCAGCGGGATTGTGAGTATTGGGTGAGGCATCTTGGGTCCTCTGTGGCTCCTGTAATTGGCCCTGCAGGACAGAGCACATCATTACAAGTCTTCTGCAGAGCCCTGCCGTTTCCACAAGTGGAGGGCTCACCTGTGTTCATACGCTACACCAAGCTTCCAGTCTTCATTAGAAAATGTTAACAACAGCTAGGCGCATCCCAGAGCACTCATGACACATTTGATGAAGTCCTCCCAGACTTTAGATGACTTGAAATTGTATCATCATGCGTGTCGAGGCAAGCACGCCTACATATAGACTCAGAAAGCAACTTGTGTAATTATGTGGAATGACGACACTGTCTTTTTTTGCATGCCTAAGTCAAGTCTTTGTTTTTCTCTGTTTGCTTTCTCCTCTCTAGGGCCCTTGCACATGCCAAATTCACAAAGTAAGTGACATCGGTTTTGCCATCAGTTTATGTTCCTCAAAAGAAAGTAATTCTTACAGGTTTGGAACGACATAAGGGTGAATAAATGATGACGGAATGAAGAGTTGTTGTAAAGTTTTGAAAGTGTCGTGAGTCATTATGAAACTCTGAAGTGAATGAAGAAAATAAAACTCATTTTCTCACCCTTATGTTTTTTCAAACCTTTATGAAATAACTTGTGGGTGCTCTGTGGAAGAGCATCACATTCTGTGGAAAGGTTTTACAGAAGTTTTTTTTACAGAAGTCTTTTGAAAACATACTATAGCTTTTGAAGAACATACTTTGTGATTATTCATTGAAAATGTTGACATTCACACTAGCTCTCCTTGACATTAAGTAGAACAGTTCAATCAGCTTCATGAAATGAATCTTCTGCATAAAATGAATCTTTTTAGTGAATTGGTTCAACCAGTGCACAAAAATGGTCTGAATTATTAATTCACAAATTAAACTTACACAAGTCTCGGTTAAGAAAACCAGTGAATAGTGAATTAAATTTCAGCCAATGCTATCACACAATGCTGTCATATAACTTAAGAAGATTTAAAATAAAGCCCTGGAGTCATTTTAACCCATTTTTATTAGACTGCATCTTTTTGATGCTTCCAATCCCTTTTAATTGTAACTGCATAGAAACATGTTGTTCAGAAAAAGTTTGAAACAACATGAAAGTGAGTAAATGATGACCGAATTATTTTTTTGGGAGGTGAATTTTTACTTAAAGTGTTTAAGTTGACATGTTTCATGTCATCTAACAGGTCACTGTTTTTTTATTTTTGTAACAGAGAGCTGAAATATGTCATTCAGAGGTTTGCTGAAGATCCCAGACAAGAGGTGAGACAGGAAAGTGTGCAGAAAGGGTGTTGTTTGGCTTACAGTATCAATCGAATGCCTGCTTAATATTGCCACTGTAGACTTAGTAAACAGTGCTTCGTTGAGCTTCAGCCATTGTGAATGTATGTGCATGTGTGTCTCTCACAGGTCCACTCCTGTTTGCTCAGCGTGCGCTCTGGAAAAGACGGGTGGTTCCAGCTCTACAGTCCAGGAGGCGTAGCTTGCGACGATGACGGAGAGCTGTTTGCTAGCATGGTATGAAAGTGTTTGTATGAAATGCGAGATGTCTCAATTAGTTTAGTCTTTTGTCCTGCCACTGTATCTACATTTATGGTCTGATGTTGTTCGTCCTCACAGGTCCACATCCTCATGGGCTCCTGCTACAAGACAAAGAAATTTCTCCTGTCGCTGGCTGAAAATAAACTGGGACCCTGCATGCTCTTGGCCCTGCGGGGGAACCAGACCATGGTGGAGGTACATATGACTGTTGCTTTGAGCCGAAATGTAGTGAGCTGCCCACCTATGTAACATTTTTAGGCATCATGGATGGTTCAAACCAAAGGCTTTTTTTTAAAAAGCCTTAGTTTTGCTAGTCTCAGCCTTTAAGGGCACGTCTACAGAACGTCCATAGTCTGTTCACTGACCATATGATGAATATTGCACACAAAATGGTAAGAGCAGACTGAAAATTAGCAGTTTTTATCTGATTGGCTAGCATTATGCAACTTCCTGTGAAACCAAGTTGTGTTTACAAGGTACTAATGAATACTTTTGTGATAAATCTAACAACTAGACTAAGAAAACCAAAATATCCACAAGCAGAATTGCATATTCTGTTTTAAATCATCTGTATTTTTGTACAGACAGAAATTCTAAGCACATTTTCTGCCAATTTCTATCCATTTTCTCTAAAACCATCTGCAGAAACTGTTGCTTTTTTCCTTTGTCATTAATTGTTGTAGGGTGACAAATTTGAATTAAAATTGCCCCTAAATGACACACAAAAACCAAAAAACTGGTGGGTGATCACTTTCAATGTATAAGTCTGAGTTGGCGGTTCTAGACTAGAATAAACGGCAAAGTGGACCAGAGAGCCGATAGACTGACTGCATGTATGCTTTGTGGATTTGGCAACCCTAGAATGCATTGTAATCAGGGTTTGAAATTAACTTTTTCACTCACCAGCCAATTTGGCTACTACATTTTTAAGTTACCGGCCATTCATAATTTCTACTAGTCAAAAAAATGAAACAAATAAATAATGAAAAAAAGGCTTGAGGCTGCCTCAAGCCAACAGCTTGAGGCTGTCCACACTGGATGCGACAAAGTGACCATTGCAAATCATTTGTACTTTGTCAAACAGTAGGCCTACGTCATAAATAGAACGAGGCATCAGTTTACTGTCGGGGATTTGTCGTGCTGTGCTGTGCCATACTAACGTTACCTGACGCAAAAAGTTGAGTGCCACCGGCATCGCTGCCTCCAACCTCGTTGGATATATGATTATTTTGTTTACTTATACACTTATATGTTCTGTTTTTGTCTACCATTGATTTGCACACATAATTTGCACAATTGTAAGTAATTACATCATGTGAGTCTCTACTATTAAACCTTACCCTGTTTGTTCACAATTTTCCGTACTTCATTTGGCTGATAACAAGTACTGATAAGTACTAATAACAATGAGACAATCAAAAACACATGAAAATGGCATTATACATACTTTATTATTAATGCAACACTGTGTTAAAAAACCAGTTTCAAAATGCATAATAGAAGATGTGACAAGCATGATGAATCCTCAACACACTGTTTTCTTAAGTGGACACCGTGCAAGTACTACAAAGAAAGCTGAATAAATTACTAATAATAATAATAAGATGATTTGATGCTTCTGCCAAACATTTCTGATGACCCTTTCTGCATGGATTCTTAGAAGTGCTAGACGATCTGTCAAATACTAAATAGTGCTTGTAGGTAGAAGACATTTTGACACACACTTTCACACTGAATGGTTTCTCTGTGGAAATCTCAAAACAGTCTATCATTGCTATTCTGTGTCCAAAGGACTCCACAAACTAGTGAGGCATAATTTTGTGGCGGTCACAGTTGTCTAAAACAGTGTTTGTGCAAGCAGATCCAATCTGAGGTGCATAAGGTTAACATAAGTATTTAAAAAAGTGAGAATTTTTCTAATTCCGATTCTCGTGAGTGTGACGTCACCTGACAAAGACCGATTAGGCTTATTTAGTATATCATGATGAGTCTCGAGTTCAGTATTTACACTAAATCTGTGCAGATTTGGCTTACATGAACTTCCTCAAGAAATTAATTAGTAAACATAATTTACGAAAAGTAACCTGCCAAATTGGCTAGTGATTTGACAGCGTTACCCGCCACAGCTGATTTTTACCCGCATTTGGCGGGTTGGCGGGTGTTAATTTCAAACCCTGATTGTAATTATTACAATTTAATTAAAATGTCATCCTATATTGTACTGTTTCATCCAGTATTTGTATGCGCTATGTTTTTGTGTTTACTAGAGTAGCACTTGTTAGCTTAGCAACATGCTAACGTCAAATTCTTTTGAAATCAACCTGAGTATTAGGGTGTGGTCGTATTTAATGTTGTTCGGTGAATTTCCTTTAAAATCATCTGCGGAAACTGTTGCATTGTTTTGTTTTTTCCACAGCTATCTATTGTTGTAGTATAATCATTTGCAATAAAAGGTAGTTGATCACTTTAAATGTTGATTTTCGAATCTAAGTTGGCTGTTCTAGACTAGAATAAACTGCAAAGTGGACCAGATAGTCTAAAGTCTGACTGCGTGTATCCTTTGTGGATTTAGAATTAGGATTTTATTTAATCCGATATTTATAACGCGGTGTGTTTTGTGTTCTTTATAGTATCCACTTATTAGCTTAGCAACATGCTAACATCAAATTCTATTGGAATCAACTGAGTATGGTAGCATTTTTTTTTTTTTTTTGGCTAAATTTTGTGGGCAAAATCTGTGTGACTTACTTCTGTAAAACACAAAAGATTTTTTGTAGAATGTTACAAAACCATTTTGGTTACCCTTGATTTCTACTGTATGAACAAACATTTCTTGAATTTCTCAAAATATCTTCTCTTATGTTCCACAGAAGAAATAAATTAATACAGGGTTGGAATGACATGATGCTGAGTAGCCTAAATGAAGACAGTTTTAATTCCAGCAATTTCAATTCAGTTTCCATTTCTGAATGGATGATGCCTAAGTAGACAGCAAGGCAGCTCACTACATTATCTGTGGAGAGTTCAAGAGACTCCAGGGAAACCGGTATGCAGGATATAGCAGTGATCCCTGTGTGTCTGCCGTGCAGATCCTGTGTTTGATGCTGGAGTACAACATCATAGAGAACAAGGACACTCAGCTACAGATCATCTCCACCCTGGAGAGCACCCAGGTCGGCCTGCGCATGTACGAGCAGCTGTGCGACAGACAGAGGGAGCTTAAAGAACTGGTGAGTACACAAACCAATTTCACAAATCAACACCGAGACGCTTTCACTGCCACGCACAGGCTTCTTCTTGCCGAGCTCTGACTTTTAGTTTAACGCAGTGCTCCCATTAACACAAAAAGACAGAAGTGACCCATTTACAGGCTTCCTACGTATACAGTGCTGACTCTCAAGCGCCACCTGATGTTTAAACTAAAAACTGCAGCACTAGTAATATCTCTTTCTCTGTTTAGCAAAGAAAAGGAGGCCCTACTCGACTCACTCTGCCATCTAAATCGACGGTGAGTGTGTTTGCATAAATTAAAATGTATTTGCTTGCATCCATGCTGTTGTTTTCCTAGTAAAACACAACCAAAAATCCTTCCTCAAGGCTTTTTCCTCACATTTTCTTTACTCTAGGATGCCGACTTGGCTCGTCTGCTGAGCTCCGGTTCCTTCGGCAATCTGGAGAACCTCAGCTTGGCGTTCACCAACGTCACCAGTGCCTGTGCTGAACAACTCATCAAACTGCCATCCCTCAAACAGCTCAATCTGTGGTCCACCCAGGTCTGTTTTCTTCTGCTCATTCCATTCTCAGTCCCATAGTCAAAGAGAATCTCCACTATGTGCCGATATACATATGCTATATGCTGATTTAGTACACAAACATTTTTTTAGGATTCTATGATGAATAGAAAGTTCAAAACAACAGCATTGATTTGAAATAGGAATCTTTTGTAAAGTATCTTTACTGTTACTTTTGATCAACTGAATGCATCCTTGCTGAATAGAAGTATTCATTTCTTTAATAAAAACCTGTTTTATTGACTTGATTTATGTTTTCGCTGTGTTTTAGTTTGGAGATGCTGGGCTCCGTTTGCTGTCGGAGCATCTGGCCTGTCTGCAGGTTTTGAACTTGTGTGAGACTCCAGTCACGGATGCTGGCCTGCTCTCCCTCAGCTGTAAGAACGCATTTACATCAATCGTATATCCAGCTACTTCCATTCTGAACTGTAAAAAAAACCCAGCTGTTTCTGAATTTAAAATGATTAGATTTATTTTCTAGCCTCTTGGTCTACAACAGTTCGTAGCTATTTGTGAAGCTTGAGGTTTCTTAAAAGGATAGTTAATCCAAAAATGAAAATTCTGTCATGTCATTCCAGACCAGTATGACTGACTTTCTTTCTTCCATGGAGCACAAAAGGAGAACACAATGTCAGAACTTCTGTTTTTCATATACCGTGACAAAAGTGGATAGTGATTTATACTGTCAAGCTTCAAAGAATCATAAAATATGACTCATGCACTATAGTCCAAGTCTTTTGAAGCCATAGTCATTGTTCACGAATAATCTTTCTCTCCACTCTAGATCTCAAATGTCATTCGCGGCCGTGTTTTTAAATTTACCACGTCACAATCGTTCAGATAACATGCAAGAACTAGTGTTTTTTGCCATCAGTGATGTCAGACCTGCTCACACCTCCACTTTAATGGTGCTCTTTTTGGAGCTTAGCCATATAAACAACCATCTACTTGTTGTTTGGCTATAAAATTATGGCATAACTTAAGTTTTAAAAGTTAAGTATTTAAACTATCCATTTAACAAAAAAAGTGGTTTATTTTCAGTGTGAAGAGCGTTTAGTGTTTGTCCCGACACATTTATGGTTTATTTTAATTGACATGTAGGCTAATTATAATTAATATTGCGACTTTTCCTTGCAGCAATAAAAAGCCTGTGCAGCCTGAATATGAACAGTACTAAACTCACAGCGGACACATATGAAGACCTGAAGGTAAGAGGATGCTGACTCTAGCAGACCCTCAGACTGCTAGGATTGAAACTTGAAGTTAAAGATGAAGTGTCATTAAAAAAATTTAAAAAACCCGCAAGGACGGGTTAAATCTCCTATCTCAGTTTAATATAAAGAAGCTACTAAATGTACACTATTTCTCAAGTTTGGGGTTAGTAAGATTTTTTTATTTAATTTTAAAATTGTTACAAAAAAATCTAATTTCAAGTTCAAGTTAATGCTGTTCTTTTAAACTTTATATTAATCAAAGAATCCTGAAAAAATGTATTACAGCTTCCACAACTATTTTAAGCAGCACGGCTGTTTTTAACATTAATAATAAAAATAAATGATTACTAAGATATTACAAAGATTTTTGAAGAATCATGTGACACTGAAGACTGGAATAATGGCTGGTGAAAATTCAGCTTTGCATCACAGGAAAATAGAAAACAATTTTAAAATTGTAATAGTATTTCACAACATTGCTGTTTTTTTTTTTTTTACAGTATTTTTGATCAAATAAATGCAGCCTTGGTGAGCATAAGATACTACTTTAAAAAACATTAAAAAATCAAACTGACCCCAAACTTTTGATTAATAAAGTTGTTCATAGTTTGAGTTTCCCCAAAAATGTAAATACTGCTATTCAGTGGTGCTTTCAAAACATTGAAGCATTACAACCAACACAAAACAGACACATTGACTTGACCAATGGCCTGAGTTTAGGGGCGTTGTTATCTTTTTTGGCTGGCCAATAGCAGATGAGGGAGTATCAACAGTCTCTACTTTTCCAATACAGTTTGGTGACTCTAATGGTGCAGAAATTACACACTTCACCTTTAACTCTTATCATCTTATCATTTTTTTATGTTATTTATACAAGCAGGACATGTTCCTGGTTCAGTCAATCAATCGTAGCCATGAAAGAGAGGAATAATAAGAATCATAGGGCTGATAGGAATGTTGTTCCGGGAACAACAAAGGATGTTAAACCAGGAGCATGCTACATTAAACGTTTCATTATCTAAACCTCTCCATCTCTGGTCCTGCCCACAGGCCAAACTACCCAATCTAAAGGAAGTGGACGTTCGCTACACAGAGGCGTGGTGAACACGATGCTCGAGGAGATTTATAGACAGGAAATCGCTGACACATCATCCGAACACAACATAATCAAGAAGCAAGGACTGTGTTTATAGGAACATCATTCAAACGACAAGGACCTTCTGATAATATCATAAACGCTCAAGAATCATCTAGTGTCTCATCCGAGGATGCTCTTCGCAGCGGCGTCAAAATGCAAGAATATGTCCCGTGACATCATCAAACAGCACAGGAACCTTTCTAACGACATCACCAGGGGACTTTTTCCTCTGTCTCGTTCTCGCCTTTATCTCAGACCCTTCAGAGGAACCGTGTCCCTCGTCTTAACCCATAACTGGCGTCCCTTTTTGTCCCCCCGAAGACATCAGACCACCTGGATACATTTCCCCTGTGGTACCAGCGTCTGGTGAAGGCCTGAATATTCAGAGCCACATTCCAGTACAGTTTTGATATCACTTCCTGTGTGGAAAGCCAATTTCCACTTAAGGTTTTTTTTTTTTTCTTGTTACATGTGTGCTTGGTCTTCTCGGTTCAGAGTCCATCATTTTTGCATCCTCACAGAGATTTCTGGTGTAAAATGTGTCTGTTAACAATGTTCACGTTCATCTCTATATCTCTATTGCTCTGAAAATCTTTTTTTTTTATCAACTTGAATAAGCATATTTTTCCATACACTGCTTTCATATACGTGTGTGTTTGTAAAGAAAATCGACGTATCCCCATTTTTAATGCGGACATTTCTGGGGCTTCGCTCAACAACAAAAAATTCCTTTCCCTTCCTCTTCTCTCTTCTTTTTTTAGCCACATTGTACAGTGTAATTTTAATTTCACACCCGTATTTAAGAGAACATCGTCCAGGAAGTAGTCTGGGACTACTTTGTATTTATGAGCCCCCCTTTCTGGTCCTATTTTCTTTTATTAAGTTCTTTTGTCAAGCATACTGAACCAAGATGGTGCCTAAAACATTTTCTGTAAAGATTGCATCACCTAGCAACGTCAGTTGTACATAGATACATTATGAACTTTTAAACCGATTAATAGGCTTTATTATTCTCTGTAAACTTTGCCTCTAGTGGTCGATAGGAGTCCACCATGATTGTCCTGCCACAACGGTTGACAATGTTCCGCATATTTATATCAAATCGAGCCATGTGCTATGTTCATTATGGCTTGTTATGCAGTTTAACCTTTTTATATTTCATTTTCTCGCTTTTGTGATCAGCGTCTCTCCAAACGTATAGATTATGACCATTGTAATTAGTTACAGTCAATATCTTGACTAGTAGAGAAACGAGACGGATCTTGTAAAAAAAAAAAATGTGTAAAAAAAGACGGTCTGAAATAAAACGTTCAATTTGCCGTCTTAACTTAAATTGAGTTTTTCTTATGTTTACAAAGGCGTGTCTGTCTCTTCTCCCACTTTGAACTATATCCAGATGGAGTTGCTGCCCCGTCCATGTGGCCGGTCTTGAAAGTAGCAGTTTTAGGTAGTTCTAGATTTTGTGTGTGCGTTTGATTTCACACAGATACAGATGCCGTCCAGAGGGCGGCGTTCAGTACTGGGTGCCATAATGACACCAACACGAGTTCTGCCATCTTGCATATTTACAAACTGTATAATGTACATACGAGTGTATATAATTTCCCATTTCTCTTTCTCTCAAGTTTTTGGGAGACTCTTTGTTGCCTTCTTTTTTTTTGATGTGTGTATAAGGTCACCTATTTTTGTTCCCTTTCCTGCCCCCAGACCAAGTGCACTGTCATTGTTTTTTTTTGTTTTGTTTTTTTTGACTGTATGATAAGTTTAATCCATTTTTGTTGCCTGTTTTGTTTCTCTTTTTGCATGTTTGCAATTTTATCATATAGATTTAAAATAAAGGGTAAAATCACTAGCCCCCGTCAACCACTTACCATAAGAATCAATATGTGTTTCTAAAAGTGAAAGATGGACAGAGTTAGTGTGTGTGTGTGCGATGTGAACGGATGGATTATATTGGGAGTGTGTTCTGAAGGTGCGTTCGTGAGTGGACTAGAAACTGCCATTCTGTACACTGGTGAAACTCAAGCCGTGGTAAGGTACATTGGAATGGTCTTCAGTCCTAAAAGCAGACCATTTTTCTCTGTGGCAGGAAGGATTCAGGGGGCTGGGTTTCCCCCAGCCTTCATTTTGTTAAGAAATCATAATAAAAGCCATCTCTTTGAGACGATGGCTAATCTGTTGAAGTTGAAATCCAGTTTATACTTAAGTCAACTGTTTCCGGATTTATTTGTAATATCCTGGGGAACTCACTGTGCTATTTGTGTTTCCAATGTCTCCTTATCATGTTATGTTTCATTAATTTCAGCTTTTTTATTTTTGTTGAAAAGCGCTTTTTGCGATGTTGCATTGAGACGGAGTCTTAATGTGATGTGGGTGGGGTCCCTGCGGCCCCTGTGGCACAGTCGTGTACATACAGAATGAACTACATTTCCCATGACTCCTGGAGTTTTTGCAGATACATCTGCTGCCCTTATTTCTTCTGTGTTTTTCTGCTTCTATCTACAGCTGGGTTGCTGCTGCTGCTCTGTGGCTGTTGTAATGAGAACACAACCTTCAACGGGAAAATAAGCCTAATATGTGAACCAGTTTCAATCAAAATAAACTGTCTGTGAATATGTTTCAAATAGAAAGCTTTCAAAGCTTTTTTTTATTGGCGCGTTTATTCACTAGTTTAGTCATTTGCTTCAAAAAATGGTTTTTCATTTTTGGAAATGCACTCTTTATATTATTTTGATAACAATGATACAGTAAAGAGAAAAGGAAATTCTCTTTATCATCATGAACCCAAAACATGAGCATGTGAACAAATATACACATTTATATGTAATACAAATATACACAGTTTTATTTAGATCTTATTCAGTGTCGCAGTAACTGCTCTGCAGTCCTTACGATTTATTTCCACAGTGATCCAGAATCTGGAATGTATCTTCTAAACAACAAGACCAAGACTAAACCACATGCTTTTCACCATATTCACATTGAAACATCTGCTAGTTCCTTGTGGTTAAGGCTGTTTACACCTGTAAACAAAGATTTTTCATTACTGACTGGAATGAGGAAATAGTAATATTTAAAAATTGGGCTTTTATTTGTTTCTGGTGGTGTTACTGCTTTAATATCAGCAGTCTCAAGGTTAATGTACATTAATCTAAAAAAAAAAAAAAAAATATATATATATATATATATATTACACACAAACTATTTATTTTTTATGTAATTTAAAAAAAAAATATATATATAAGAAAGGTTACTTGATCATGTATATGCACTGATCTGGTTATTTATTACTAGGCACTGTTACATTTATCTACATTAAACCACTTAATACATGAAAAATGACATATGAGTGAACATTAAGTTCACAATTAATTATCACGAAAATGAAAATTCAACTGAGAATACTTGCTATAACACCCAGCCCTTTTTAGAGTTTTTAGAGAAGATTTGGACCGGCTTTCTCTATTTTAAAACTCAATTTGGCACTGTGGGAGCACAAAGCCATATTAGATAACTGTAAATAATCCATGGAAGGAAAAGATAAATTGATTTGATGAAATTTTAATATTAGTATTTCGAGCACAGCAGACTGATGGACACATAGCAAAAGGTCCCTCACCTCCACCTGCTCTGCATGCACCAGAAGAGATGAAAGCTCCAGGTTTTCACTAAACCTGTTCTTCAGCGGGACAGACCGATACCCTAATAAAAAGAAAAGAATGACCAGAAGAGAAATGCAACAGTTCAGAGACCCTTTTAGATTTTAATACAGAGGCACTATTTTTCTTTGAAGCAATATTATGAAAGTAATAAAACTGATCTCGGGTTCTGGGGATTGTGAGGGAACTACTGGGGCTTTGTGGTTTGATGAAAAGCGAAGTTAAATCATAAAAATGTAAATAATAATAAGACACTCACTAAACCTTTTACAGTCATGTCTTGTAGCCATTAACTGACATTATATTAAAATATTAAAATCTCAGGGAGTACTTGCAGAGCCCTGCGCATCACATGCATACAAAAATATATGTACTGTGGCCACAAATTATGAATTTGTTCCCTCATTTTAGTTAAATCATAGCCACGATTTACACGATCTAATTTTAGTGAAATTATGGCCATGAATTCCTTCCCACGACTACTACTACAATTGTGGCCATACACACTACTAATTCATTCCCTCATTTTAGTAAATTATGGCAACATTGTACTAAGTCATTCCCTTGTTTTAATTAAATCGGCAAATTAGTACAATGTGACCACGATTTATTGTAGTAAGGGAACAAATTAGTAGTGTGGCCACAATGTACTAAAACGAGGGATGAATTCTTAATTCATACCCAGGATTTAACTAAAACGAAATAATACATTATACATAATACCCCCCCCCCCTTAATTATACATAATCCCCCCCCCCCCTTACTTTAGTGAAGAAAGTTCACTAAAATAAGAATGAAATATTTGCAAGGCATAGTATATATATTTTGGGGCTCAGATCTGTTGGATGGATTTACCTTGACGAATACCTCTAATAGGAAAAGTGGCCTGTGCAAGAAACTTCGCATCAGAGAATGTGTCCTCCTCAAAAACCACAAAGCGCAGGAAGGCCAGGTCTGGCTCATCTACTTTAAAGCATTTGGGTGGATTCATTTGACCCAGCCACACTGGATTCAGTCCGTTGTCCTCTGCAAAGAAACCAACATTCTTCACTACTGTAATCTAAATCCTAATTCCTCTCTCCCTAACTCTCTTCCCGTATCCTTACTGAAGAGAGTAGTCTTGAAACTGTAGTCGTCTACTTGAGCTCCTGTGTACGGCCACAGCTCAACCTGTACAAAAGGACTGACGATGTGGTCTGGATTGGGCAGATGCCTGGCTGCCATCACCTGCAGGAAACCCAAGAAAATTTCTTATAGTTTTGACAAAACTGTACCACACAAATGCGGCTAGTTCACCCAAAAACAATAATTTGCCATGTCATTCAAAACATGTAAAACCCTAAAAAATTTAAATGTCTTTCTTCCGTAGAACACAAAAGGAAATCTTTTCCACATAATGAATTTAACTGAAGACTGTCAAGCAACAAAATGACAATTTCTCATATTTTAGTCCACAAATTCACAAGTCATACAGATTTGGAATGACATCAAGGTGAGCAAATAATTACTTTTTACTTCAATTACTTTAATTTACATTGCATTCCTATTACTTTAACATTCTAGAACTCAATAAAAAGGTTGAACTGACTCAACTGCAGTTTCAAGCAAATAAGAGTTATTTACTCTGATTCTGATGGTTTGTTTAGCAGGCTTCTTCTTGGTTGGATCTCGCATCCACTCTGGTTTAAGCACGTAACCCGTGCCTCCATTCAGACTGAAGAGAGCACTGTTTAGCTGCATGAATTTATCTGAAGAGAGATGACATTGAGGTTAAGATTTATTAGACACGTTTATTGGAGAGCAGTTCTGAAGTTTAACACGCTACAGCAGACATTAGTGTAAACTCTTCTTCGAAGGTCAAGTACAGTCATGGTGGAGCAATAGTTTTAAGAGAGGCTTGCTGAGAAAGTTGGGCAAAGTCGAGATGTTTATAGCTAACTTATGTAAATAATGAATAAAAATAGCACATGTGGGTTAATGGCACAAGGATTTGAAGAGAACTCTTTTTTCTGATTGGATAGCTATCTGGTCATTAAAGGAATAGTTCACCCAAACAATGAAAATTTGCTCACTCTCAGGCCATTGCAATGCTAAAGTTCTAAAAAAAAATCTGTCCTGATGAAGAAGCAAACTCTTCTTGATCTTGGATGACATTTTCAGCTAATTTTTATTTTTTGGTTAACTATTTCTTTAAACGTGTACATGATTGAAAGCAATGGTCATGATGCATACTTAATGTGATTGCTAAACGCATTCGGTTGTTCAGACCGGATACGGAAACTTAATTCCTTCCAAACAGAAAATCTTAACATAGCCCTCTATCGCCCCCTTGAGTACTGAGATTTTACTACCACAACAAGTGGTTTTTATTTTATTTTATGTAATTATTATTCATTATACAATTATTCAGCAAGTACACATATTCATCAAAAGTGACAGTAAAGACATTCATAATGCTACAAAAGATTTTTTATTTCAAATAAATGCTTTTCTTTGAGCTATTCATCAAATAATGAAGCCTTGGTGAGCTTAAAGGGGTCATGTGATGCGATTTCAATTTTTCCTTTCTCTTTGGAGTGTTACAAGCTCTTGGTGCATAATCAAAGACA